ACAGGAGCCGTTCTTCGCGCCTTGATCGCGGAGGCCTCAGCCTCCGGCACGCGCGCGATCGTGCAGCCGAGCGCTCCCGCACGCCCAGAACAAAAGGCCGGCAGCCAGAGCCTCCTCACCAGTCAGCGAGGCGCCTTCTCCCAGACAGCAGCGGGGGAAGGCGGGGCAAGCCAGCGCGGAGAAAGAGCGGCAGCTGGGAGCGGGGAGGGCGCGGGGAGCGCCCGCGGAGCGCCCGTCCCCCCCCCCCCCGCGGCAACGTCACCTTCGACGCCTGGCACGTGGCATCGATCGGGCGTGTGCATGTTTCCTTCGGCGAGGAGCATCCTTGATCATTTGGCGAAAAAGCCACGCACGAGACCGAACAAAAACACAGGGAATGGACGTCCGAGCGACGGCGAGAGCAGCGCCGCCTGGCGTCCGCCCCGTCAGCCTCCCTCGTGCCTGCCCAGCCCGGTGGCGTAGGTGGCAGCTGTGCGCCGCCCACGCAGGCCAAGGCAGGCTTCGGCATCGTAGTATGGACCCCCTCCCCCTCCCAATCCTCCTCCTCCTCCTCCTCCTCCTCCTCCTCCTCCTCCTCCTCCTCCTCCCTCCTCCTCCTCCCCTCCTCCACCTCCTCCCCCCCGTCATCGTAACCTGGTCCTCCTCCACAATTACTCAAGATGAATACTACTCTCCTCCTTCCCCTGATGACGGGTTGGGAGTGTTCGCCCCCCCCCCCCCCCGCGTATTGTTTTTTACACACAGGATTCCCCGGAGTTGGGTTTTCGCTTGCATTTTTTCAAAATGCTGCTCTCGCTGAGGCGCCGGCCTCATTTTCGGGCCCCGCTCGTTCCGAATCGTGCTCCCGCTGCAGCGCTGGCCTCATTTCTGTGCTTCCGCTCGTTCCGAATCGTGCTCCCGCTGCAGCGCTGGCCTCATTTCCGCGCTTCCGCTCGTTCCGAATCGTGCTCCCGCTGCAGCGCTGGCGTCATTTCCCGTGCCATGCCACGGCATGCAATGCAATGCTAGGTTGCGTTCCGCTGCGCGATGCCATGCCTTCAGCTGAAGCTGTGATATGCAGTGCTTAAGTGCCACGTCGTGCTATGCCATGCTACGCTTTGATCTTCAACGCCATGTTATGCAATGTTATGTTCGGGGCCGCTGTGCGATGCCATGCTTTGCGTTGCAAAGCTTTGTGATGCAATTATTCACTACGCCACGCCACGCCATGCTGTGACATACTACGCTTTGCGGTGCTCTTCTACGCCATGCCATGCCGTGCTCTACAATGCATCGCGTACCCTTTCGGGATCATTGCCCTGCTCGACATCCGACTATGCGAGTAGAGAGGGGATCTACGCCATGGTAAGGGATGGGAGGGAGGGGTAGGATGTCAGATATGACGCGAGCGCACCTAGCTTGCCCTCCTCCCCCTCCTCCTCCTCCTCCTCCTCCTCCTCCTCCTCCTCCTCCTCCTCCTCCTCCTCCTCCTCTTTCTCCTCCTCCTCCTCCTCCTCCTCCTCCGTCTCGCAACGCCACGCTCTATTGTTTCAGGCTTGGTCCGGTCGCGTGCAGCGCGACGCCGCCGAGATGGACCGCAAGGCAATCGAGTCGGTCGGACACCATGGACTTCTTCTACATCAGCGCCGGCGTGCCCAGCTTCGTGTTCTCACTCGCAAAGCTTAGCTTTGGCCCCCTGCTTCGAAAGCGCTAGGTCCGGTCCGGTAGCAGTACAAGCTGACGGTGTCGTTGCAACAAGCCCTCAGGGCAAGTACGACCTGCTCGCGGACTGCTGGAAGGTCGTCTTCTCGTTCGGGCGCTGGTCAGCAACCCGCCCAGGGCCCCCACCGACCCGACCCAGCACTGCCCAAAGGCGAACGCTGCTGCCTCCTCCCCGCCTGCTTTTTCCACGTGATGCGCAGGGTGGCTCCTGCGCGCTCACCACTCCTGCCACGCGCGTGGGCTGCACACCTTACCGTACCCGGGCTGGCTACTCCCTCGGGCCTCTTGGTGCTGTGGGCAGTGATCTTGTGGCTGCTGGGTGGGCTTTGCTGTGCACCCTGTAGGCCTTCTTGCCAAAGGGCGATCATCACGAGGGCGATGCGATCACCGGGCAGGTCTCGCGACGTGCCTCCAAGGTAGGAGTTCTGGGCCCACGGAGCCTTGACGTGAAGTTGCTGAGCGCCTACCTCCATTACGCGTTCAGCCGTGTCGTTGATTCGGTCGCGCCACGAATCCAACGTGACCTATGCCAGGCCTACGTGATCGTGGTATTGCTGCGATGGGCGTGCCGATTGCTGTCGTTGAAATCGTGGTCACGTTTTACCGTGTTGTACGCGCCGTCGGGTCCACAGCTGGTTCCCTCACCCAGCTGTTTCTCATAAGGTCCGACATCATTCAAGTTTGTGGGCTTAGCGGCAGCCTGTGCGCCTTGAGCACCGCCCTGTTTCTGGTCGACATTGTTGTCTCTACTGAGGCGTCTGTGTACGGACGCGTTCCAGCATGCATGCGCAGACGGCATTGGGGCAGTCTTATTCACACACCGTTTCTTAGTGAAGCTCGCTCGGATCATGCGGCTCGGATCATGCGGGTCGTTGCTCTCGTGGCCCACGCGTCTTGAGGTTGCCAAGTGTCACGTTGTCCCTCCCTTCGCGTTGTTCTCCGACACCACATCTCACTGAGCGTTTCGCTGCACTGGTACACGGACGGGCGGAATTTCCTGATTGTTGCGTCGCTGGTTTATTATTAATCGCTTCGCTCATTCCGCCGGCCCTGGAGTGCTCTTTGGGGCATCCTGGCGGCCTCTGTGGGCTCCTTGGCGGCGTCTTGGGGGCCTCTGCAGGGCTCTTGGGGGCCTCTTGGGGCAGGAGGGGGAGGTAGTCGAGTGCGGCTCCCCACTCGGAGGCCACGATCCCCCTGCGGAGTGTCGAAAAATGGCCCTCCCTTACGGCGTTCTGGGGGGATCGCCCGGGAGTAGACCGGGACTCGGCCGGGGTACTTTTCGTCCGGGGGCCCCCAGGGGCCGCCCCGCACGCGCGTTCTAGAATTATTATTAGCCAGTTACCGGAGATCTTGCTTTTGGTCCGTTGGGCCGGCGAATTTGGGTGTTCTCATTGGCACGGGCGTGTTTCCAGCTGAATTCTGGGGGCTTGCCTTCTCCTAACTGCTTGCCAGGAGTAAGGCTATCGGACGCGGGTGCACGCCTGCCAGTGTTTCTGCACTGCTGTGTAACAGTCGCGCGTTGCCCGTTTTGTCGTACTTGGCCCAGTTCGCAGTGCCGCCTTTCGCTATGTTGGCGGATGAGTGCAGTATTATGGCATCTGTCTTCCGTTGTATTGGAGGTGTTTTGCGTCGTGATGTTTGGCCGGCGTTGTGGATTTGGGGTGGCCCTCGCATCAACGGGTGGCGCGACGACCTATGCGCTACGTTGGTGCGTTCGGCGTTGTCTACATTGTCGAGACTTGTGTAATTGATGCGTGAACTACGTCGCGGTCGTACAGCGGTTGTTTGTTTCAGATTGCTACGAGCACGTTGGAGCATCAAGCGTTCCCGAAGCTTGTCCTGCAACTCGCCGTCGGCGCTGCCCGAGCATCGTTGGTTCCTGGGGTCTCTGGGCCTCGTCCTCAAACGGGCGGCTGCTGAAACCCTTGCCTTCCCTTGCCGATTGCACGAACTATGTCAACAGCGTTTGGGGAAGCCGTTTCTGCGTCGCGTCGACGACGGCAGGAATATCGTGCCGTGTTGCGGAGTGCCCCCACATGTGTCGCTATGGATCCTTTCGATGGTAGATGCGTGAATGACGTCTCGTCGGATTCAGCACCGCGACGGCTTACGGCCATGCGTCTTCTGAGGCGATTCTGGTTGCATGGCAGATACGGACACATTCCTACATTACCAGAGTTGCTACAAGCTCGTGAACCCAATATTCGCCATCTTTCGTTTACCTCGTCACGTCACCGAGAGCCGCTTCGTCTCCTGGGTGTTTGAGGAATTACCCGGGATTTCTCAGATTTTTGTATGTGTTGGACGTACCACGCGCTGAAGGACCACGCCGTTCAGGTCCCTGCAGGCGTCGTGTCGTCGGCCTTCCAAGCAGCGCAGCGCGCATCGATCTCTACAAGTTCTGAAATGGGCCTCTGACGGCAGCGAGCCATCTGCAGTGCTTGCTGTCATGCAGCGCTAGTCCTGTTCGACAGCTGACCTCTCTGGTACGCTGGGCCCTCCTCCTCCTCCTCCTCCTTCTCCTCATCATCATCATCCTCATTCTCATCCTCATTTTCCTCCGCTTCCTCCTCCTCCTCCTCCTCCTCCTCCTTATCCACCTCCTCATCCACCTCCTCGTCCTTCTCCTCCTCCTCCTCCTCCTCCTCCTTCTCCTCCTCCTCCCTCTCTCGGCCCTCCTCCTTGCCCCTCACTTCCCCCCTCTTCTCCCTCCTCATCCTCCTCATCCTCCTCGCCCCCTCTTTCCCATCCCCCGTCCCCATCCTCCTGATCTTGATAATGTTATCGTCCCCCTTTGCCTGCTCATCGTCCTTCTCCCCTTCCTCCTTCTTCTACTGCTCATCGTCGTCATCCTCGTCCTCCACCTCCTGATCTTCCTCCTGATCCTCCTCTTGCTCCTGCTGTTTCTCCTGCTCGTCCCCCTCCCTCTCTTCCTCCTCCTTCTCCGCCTCCTCCTCCTCCTCCTCCTTCTCTCCTCCCCTCCCTACTCCCTGTCTTCCCGGGTCCCAGTCCTCATCATACTGTCCTGGCGCCGCAGTCCCGGGTCCCAGTTCTCCTCATCCTCCCTCTTCCCGTCACTGCTCCCCTCCTCCCCGCCTTTCTTCCGTCTGTTGGCCTCAGCCGATCGTCCACTTCCATTCCGTCCTTCTCCCTCTCCTCCCCCCCCCCCTCGTCGCCGCACCCTCGGTCGCGTCGTCTTTCTCGTCGGACCTGGCCCCCCCGCGCGCGGGCTCCGCCACGCCCTGCATCCCGAGTCGGGGGTCGCCGCCGCCCGCTGCCTACCCACCCCGGGGCGCGAGGTGATGTTCCTCAACATCAACCGAAAGATCACCTCCGTGCTCGCGGGGCCGCTCAACCCGGGCCTCGGCCGCGATGTGCTGATGGCCCCTTTCCCCGCTCTCCGCCGACATGTCGGTGACAGGGCTGTGCCACTCCTCATCCTCCGCTTCCTCCCCTTCCCTCCTCCTTTTCTTCTTCACGACTGTGTGTTCCTTCGTTGGACCCGTAACGTCCGTTACGGGGGGGGCGCCCCCCCCCCCTTCCCCGTAACGGCAACGAACGCACAGGGAGGGGGTCTTGGCTATCCCACATTTGTGTACCGTGTTTACGGGCATGTTTTGATGCTGACAGGCACCGGAGAGCTTCCAGACGCCTGCAGAGGCGGCCGTCTTCGTCATCGTCGTCTTCGTCGTCGTCGTCCGCGACGCCTTGGTCGTCGTCGTCCTCGTCGTCGTCGTTGTCGGCGTCGGCGTCGTTGTCGTCGTCGTCGTCGGCGTCGACATCGTCGTCGTCGTCGTCATCGTCCCGTTCTCGTCCTCCTCGTCGTCGTCGTATTCGTCGTCGTTATCGTCTTCGTCGTGTCCGAGGGCCTCGAAGGGCCTGCAGACGCTTCCAGAGGCCTCTTGGGGCACCTGTAGACATTCAGAGGCGGCCGTCGTCGTCCTCGCCCTCGTCCTCGTCCTGTCGTCGACGCGGTTGTCAACGTCCTCGTCGTCGTCGTCTCTTCCGAGTGCCTCAGAGGGCCTCAGTACGCCTCCAAAGGCTTCAGGAAACCTCCTGACGTCGCTGGAGGCCTCAGGGGACCTTCAGAGGCGGCCGTCGTCGACATCGTCGTCGTCTGCGGCGTCGCCGTCTTCGTCGTCGGCGATTGTCGTCATCGTCGTCGTCGTCATTGTTCTCGTTCTCGTCGTCGTCGCCAGTGTCGCCGTCGTCAGCGTCATCGTCGTCATCGTCTCCGTCGTCGCCGTCCCCGTCGTCGTCGTCGTCGTCGTCGTCGTCGTCGATTGTCGTCATCATCGTCGTCATTGTTTTCTCGTTCTTGTCGTCGCCAGCGTCGCCGTCGTCAGCGTCGCCATCGTCGCCGTCGTCGCCATCGCCGTCGTCGTCGTCGTCGTCGTCGTCGTCGTCGTTGTCGCCTTGGTCGTCGTCGTCGTCCCCGTCATCGTCGTCGTCGTGGTCGTCGTCGTAGTCGTCGTTTCCCATCGTCGTCCCCGTCCTCGTCCTCGTCGATGTCGTCGTCCCCGTCCTCGTTCTCCTCGTCGTCGTCTTCGTCGCCGTCGTCGTCGTCGTCGGCGGCGTCGTCCATTGTCGTCATCTTCGTCGTCGTCATTATTGTCGTCGTCGTCGTTGTCATCGTCGTCCTTGCTCTCGTCGTCGTCGTCGTTGGTAACGTCGTTGTCGTCCCCATCCTAGTCCTCTTTCTCGACGTTGTCGGCGTCGTTATCGCCGTCGCAGTCGTCGTCGTCGTCGTCGTCGACGTCGTCGTCGTCGTCGTTGTCGCTGTGGTCGTCCACGTCGTCGTTGTCGTCGTAGTCCTCGTTTTCCATCGTCGTCCCCGTCCTCGTCCTCGTCGTTGTCGTCGTCCCCGCCCTCGTTCTCCTCGTCCTCGTCCTCGTCGTCGTCGTCTTCGTCGCCGTCGTCGCCGTATTCGTCGTCATCGTTATTGTCCTCGTTGTCGTCGTCGTCCGGTCCCTGGCACCCCCCCCGTGGGGCCCGACCAACGTTGCCGTCACCCGTCCACGGGGGCCCGACCCCCTTTTCCCCCGCGTCCCCGCCCCCCCGTAGCGGGCGCTGCGGTGGGGGATGCATACACTCAGGAGGGGGAAGAACACAGACAGAGACACAATGAATCGTCGATTCCCATGAGAATATGGGAACATAAGGGCAACGGGGGGGGAGACGCAAACCAAGAACGTATGTGGAAATATGGGGAAGCCTTCCTGGGATTTGTTTGTATGTATTTGTGTGTTTGTGGGCCCTTTCATACACATTCTCCTCCTCCTCCTCCTCCTCCTCCTCCTCTTCGCCGTTCTCCTCTCCTTCCCCTCGCCCTCCTATTGCTACGTTGCGCCAGCGGGGCTGCAGCATCTCCGTGGCCGCGTTCCGAGAAGGCGAGGTCGGGACGCGGCGTTCGAACGTCCACAGAGAACAGACAACCGCTGCGTGCACGATCATTTCGCCGACCGCGTCCTCCTGCTCCCCCCCCCTTCTGATCCACATCCTCCCCCCGCCTCGTCATCCTGCCCCCGTGCCATCCTGCCGATGGGCGTCAGGGCGAGCGGGGAGGTGGAGGGCGGGAGGAGGAGACGCGGGAACCGGAGGGGATCCTGCACTTCGGGTGGAGTGGGTTGTTCGATCCGGCTGTGTTGTCCGTTTCGACCTTTGGGGGGCGGTGTCCGGGCCCCGGGACCGTCATCATCGTTGGATTCGGATCACAAGGTGGTTCCCGGGTAAAAGTAGAGGCCCACGAACGAGGAACAGCAAGCATACGCCGCACGTCTGGGCGAAGGGAGAACAAGAGGGGAGGGGGGGAGCGAGCGTGGCGGGAACGTGGAGACAGCAGGAGGAGAGGAGCGAGGAGGGGGGGGAGGGGTCGAAGGCGGGAGGGCGGGGCGGCAGGAGGAGGTCACGGGCGAAGGAGAGTGAGGACGAGGAGAAACGATGGGAGGACGAGGGCGGCGACGACAGGGGTGGTAAGAACGGGGAGGGGAGAGGAGGAGGAGGAGGAGGAGGAGGAGGAGGAGGAGGGGCTTGGCGAGGAGGAGGAGGGCGAAGGAGCGGGAGGGAGCGGTCGAGCGCCAGGAGACCGAGGGCAGGCAGGCGCCATGGCGGGGGGGCCTCTCCACCCCTTGCCTGCCCCGGTTGCGCGAGGTCGGGACGCAGACCTCCTTGATGGTCTACGACGTGGAGCAGAACGCCGATGTATTCTTCAAGGACGACGGCCCGTCGTGGTCGTCGTCGTCCTCCTCCTCCTCCTGCTCCTCCTCCTCCTCCTCCTCCTTCCCCCTCGCCTCCTCCTCCTGCTTTTCCTCCTGCCCCCTCTTCTTCCCCCTCCCCGTCCTCCCCGTCCTCCTCCTCCTCCTCCTCCTCCCCCTCCTCCCCCTCCACCTCCTCCTCCTCCTCCTGCTCCTGCCCCCTCTTCTTCCTTCTGCCCCGAGGCCGAGCCCCTCGGGCAGGGCAGCTGCACCGACGGCGGGCATCCCTCTCCCCCATGGCTCGCGGCGGCGGCGCTTCCCCACCCCCCCACCCGACTGGATAACCTGGGCCATCTCCGTAAAATTAAGTCGGGCCTGTCCATCTGCAGGAGGAATATTCAAATATACTATTATATATATAATAGTATGGGGACGATTTGTTTACACCATTTTTGAGTATTTTAATGAATTGTTTGACTATTTCTTTTTTTCCCTCGAGAATCCCCCTGTAGGGGGACAAGCCCGACTTAACCGTAAAATGAACAACGGTCTCCTGGTGCGGGCGCACAGGGGCTCCCTGGTCGCCTGGTGCGGCGCGGCAGCAGCGGCCGGCGCGCTCGGGTCTGCCTCTCCCCCTGGCCCCCCCAAAGCCGCGCACCAAAGACGAGAGAGAGAGGAAGAGCAGCGAGTAGCGAGGACGCGCTGGTGCTGGGACCCGTCAGCTGTTTCTTCAGAAGTATCCTGCTGACGGGTTCCCCGCAGCGGCCTGTCATTGATATTGATTTCCTCCCCTCCCCACCCCTCACCCACCGACCCTCCCATTCCCCCCCCCCCATACGCACGAAGGTCACTCTTGCCCTCGGTGACTCCTTGCGTGCAGCCGGTCTGGGCCCCCGGGGCTGCGGCAGAGCAGGCCGGAGGCGCGGCATCTATCCGTGGGTGGGGGCGGGGTGGAACGCCTCGCCGGTGCCCTGGCGGCGGTGGGCTGTTTGTCAGGGCTTCGACACGGCTCGGGCGGTGGCGGAGTCTCTGGTACCGCGTCGGGGCGTGTCTTCTCGACCGTGTCGTGCACGACCAAGAGGAGGGCCCCGCCCGAGTCAGAGGAGGAAAAGCTACCTCTAGCCTTCCTTCGTCGTCACGGCTGGATTCGCATCGACCTTCTGGTCAGAACGCACCCTTGGAGGAGTCCGGGTAGTAGCGGCAGTGGTAACGGTTTGTCATGCTTGGCTGTGCCGTGCACGGCCAAGGGATCGGATGTTTGGCCCAAGGTGTGCCCAGTTTGTCGCGCCATTTTGTGACCTCTCGGGCCCTCAGGGCCTCGTGAGTGGTGCTCTGGAAGCCCTCTGCGCCTACCTGGGAAAGTTGGAGTCACCTTGGGCCAGGGAGACCTCTGGCAACACCCGAGGGGAAGACCCTGGAGGTGAGAAAGACGCGATCTCGAGCCTGACACCCACACGGTGACATCTGAAGTCATCCCATTATGAACGCGTTTCCATGGTGCATATTTCCATTGCTTCAGTTATCCGCTCCTTCCTTACCAGGATGTACATGATGGCGTGAGCGTCATCACTATGGGCAACATCGTCGGAATCGATACGCCTGTGTGCGTGGTTGGGGCTCGGCTGGGTTGTGACACGAGCAGACAGCTCAACAATGCTAAGGGAGGCCGCCTAAGTACAGATGAGAGAGAGTGACAGATGCGGGGGCGGGGTGGTACGAGGATATGGGGGAGTATCTAATATGCCGTCTCAGGGGTGGATTCATGTCTCGTCCTCTATATTCTTCCTTCTCCCTCGCTCCCTCCCACCCCTTCTTACATTCCGTCCCCTCCCTCCTCCCTCTCCTCCCGTCCTCGCTTGCCAGAGCCCCTGGGACATCAGACTCAAGAGAGGGAGGTGGAAGGGAGCGGATCAAGCTTGGCGCGCTCAAAGCCAAGTCTACCTCATGATTCCTTTGATGCCCCTTCCGTCCAACAATGCGTCTCAAGACGCTGACCTTCGACCTTCCCGTGCGGCGTCAACGAGGCGCCCTCGACCTTCAAGAAGCGCGTGGGCCCCGAGGGGGGAGGGCAAACAGCAGGAGCATCGGCTGATGCCAGATCAGGCGCCAGAGGAGAAGCGTAAGGCAGGAGCAGGGGGCAGCAGGAGAAAGAGGAGGAGGAGGCGGAGGAGGAGGAGGCGGAGGAGGCGGAGGAGGAGGAGGAGGAGGAGGAGGCCCAGAGGCATTCCGTTGCGCAGCCCACGCCCCTTGCAGGCGGGGCGGCTCTCTCGCATCCGCCCACGCCTCGGGTTCCATCTGTCAGGCCATGGCCCTGGCGCCACGGCTGCGCGCAGGCGCAGCCTGCGCCGTGCCAGACAGCGACCGCAGCGCGCAGCCGCGGCCTGCGAGGGCGCGCACGGGCGGGTCACGGGGCATGTGGTGACGACGCACGCAGAGAAGGGGGCACGTGGGGCAGGGAACGGCGAGATGCAGCAGCGGCATGGGGGAGGCTGGCGGCATGTGCTCGATCTTGGCCTTCGACCACGAGGGCAGCGAGCTCTATTGGACGGTCATCCCGCCCCCGCGTGCGGGTTGCGTGCTCCGAGGCGTCGTCGGTCAGTGACGTGGTCGGCTGCCCATCCTTCGGCGGTGTCCTAGAGGCTCTCGCCATCCCGCCGGTCCCCGGAAGAATGGATTCACGACGCTATCCTGGTCTGCTCGGGTGGCCGCCAGGGGAGGGGGGGGGGTGACGGTTAGGAGGAAGCCCAATACCGTGTCGAGGAGGAGGAGGATGAGGACAAAGGGGGTGGTGGAGGGGCGGGAATGTCAGGATGAGGAGTAAAGAACGTGGGCACGAGCCGCGACCCGTCAAACGTGCTCTTACCGTTGCTGTACGCACGGCAGGAGCAGCGAGTAGTCAAGAACCCAGATCTGGGAGCCCATTGGGCCATGTGACCTCGGCGCGCGTGTCTCCTCCAAGCACGTAGATCCACGTTTGAGGCAATGGTTTGGCCCCTGGGGTCACGGTCCCCCCTCTGGGGTCGCAGGCGATCTGGACATGTGTTGGGCCTGTCGCTGGGCTGCCTCGTGCCATTCTCTGGTTGCTCCGTGTTCCGTTTGGGGCCCTCTTGGAGTAGTTCGGGGGCGTCCTGAACGCCCCTCAGGGCCTTCTGTGAGCTTAGTTGGGGCTGCCGTGGGCAATTCTTGACGCTTCGCGCATGTCACCCTCCCACCCAGAAGAAGATCGCCAGGCAAGTTACCTTGATCAGGGAAGTGTAGAAGGAGTGCAGTGCAACAGTCGCCTTGGAAGCGTTCTTTCGGAGGTCTCTTGAAGCCATCTTGGAGCTCTCTTGGTCCTCGCGGAGCCTCTTGGGGCACTCTTGGGGCCATCTTCGGACCCACTATGGGCTCGGTGGGAGGGCGGAGGCATCGTGGGGCCATCTTGGCCCCCATTCCTTCAAAAGAGGGGGGGTTGGACATTAAAGTCCCCCCCTGGGAGGCTCAACAGTTGCTTCTTGAGGCCCTCTTGGGGCGCTCTTGGGGCTGTCTTGGGGCTTTCTGGAGCCCCTCTTGGGGATCCTTTGGGCCGTCTTTGGGCCATCTTGAGGCCTCAAGAGCCCATCTGAGGCGAACAGGCGAGAAGGTAAGACGCACTGATCTGTCTCAGGTGTTGGTGACCTGTTGGCCTCTTTGGGGGGGGGTCCTTGGAGGGCTCGAGGGCACCTGAAACCGTCTTGGGGTCGTCTTGATACCTCCCAACTATCTTGAGGTATCTTGAGCCATCTTGGAGGCCATCTTGCGCGCTCAGAGGCCCCTTGGGGCCATCTTGGGCCATCTTGGACGCTCTATCCCCTCGCGGGACGCCCCTTCCAGGCCCAGGAGTGGGGGCAGGGGGAGGGGTCAAGCTTCCCACCCGCCCGCAAGCCGTCTTGCTCACTCCCACCAGCCCTCCCAACATACGCAACACCCGGGAGTCAGCATATCGCGTAAGAACGCCGCACACGCTACGGGTTCCAGATGCGCCAGACCATGGAGGCCCAACGCGTGCCAGGCGCGCCAGGTGCGGCGCGTGCTCCACGTGCGCGCAGTGCTCCCACGTGCTCCGTCCGCGCCAGGTGCGCCAGCCACTGGGAACCAATAGGTGCTCTGGGGCCCGGTTTTGGGCTCTCTTGGCAAAGTTTGGAGCCATGTAGAGGTTTCGAGGTCCCATCGGAAACGGTAAGGCGAAGAGGCAGCAGCCACTGATGTGTCAAGCCAGTCGGTCGACCACCTGCGCCCAGAAGGCAGGTGGGATCTGCTGGCACCCCAGTCGACCCTGCAAAAGACAATTACAAAATGATCGCGAGGCGGCCGCGCATGCTCCAAATGTGGAGGCAGAGTGCGTTTTGTATTGTTTTTCGACAGGGATGATGGGGGGCAGGCCCTCATGGGGTTGGCATGGTTCCGCGTTGGCCGCCGGCCAGGTGGGGGAGGTGGTGTATATTCATAGGGAACAGTGATCAAGGCACCCTCCTATCTAGCAATCCGTCTAGCTCACTCCTGCCCGCCCTCGCAACACTAAGTAATACCCGAGCCTCAGCATGTTCAGCGTTCGTCTTTGGATGGGCAGCTGCTGGGAACCAAAGCCGACCCAGTGTGCGCGACGCTGGGGGCGACGCTGGGACCCGAGCGTGCCAGGCACGTCTGGTACACCAGATGCGCCACGTGTTCACGTTCGCCAGGTTTGCTGCATACTCCAGCCACACCAAGTGCGCCACGTTCGGGGCACGTGCAGAGTGTGTCAGGTGCGCATGCGCACGTGATAGCACACATCGGGGAATGTGTCGGCCCCCACCATCCTTGTCGACAACCAATGCCCATCACTGTGCCTGGTGGGCCTGCACACACCAGGCCATACGCCACGATCGCGGGGTGGCTGCGCATGATCCAGAACTATCCGCGATGTGCCTTTTGTATTGTTGTTTGAAGGGGATTTTGGCCCTGCGCGCAGCAGACAATGTGCTGACACCCCCGCCGTCCCTTTAAAAAAATACACAAAGTGCTCGCGGGCTTCACGAACAGGATTCAAGACTTTGCCCCAAAGTCCGCGTCGGGTTGGTTGCGCATGCTCCGACTATGGAGGCAGAGTGCGTTTTGCATTGTTTTGTAGACCGGGGTGTTTGGGGGGAGCATGGTGTCCTCATTGTTCCTGGTTGGTTGCCGGTCGCCTGGGGGAGGGGGCATAGTAATAGGGAGCAGTGATAAACCCTTCTCCCGACCAGGGGAAGGAGGGAGCTTTGGCAGTTAAACCACCTACGCCCAGAGGGAGGGTGGGATTCAGGGACGTCTACGCTTTGGTGACCCACCTGCACGGGCATCATCGAGAACACTAACATCTCTGAGCAGCCAATTGCACTCAATTCATGTTGTGGCGCCACCCTGATGGCAACAGCATCCGCCGTGGAGGGCATACTCTGCCATCTTTGGTGGCACAAGACTTAGAGCCCCAAACAGCGCTTGCGTTTACTGTATGCTAGTCGGTTGTCAGTAATTCTCAACGCCTTGCGTACCCCCACCAGCCCATCCAGGAACGATGCTCATGGGAGTTGTCCGTATGGGGGGAGCGCGGTATAATGTTGATACGTCGCGAAGCCCCAGTGAACTAGAGACAGAGTTGATGCCTCACGAAGTCGCTTGGGGTGTGTCCTGGGGTCTCTTGGTGACATCTTAGGGCGTGCTTGGGACCTTTGTGGGGGCTCGTCGGGGCCTCTTGGAGCGGGGCCATCATGGGCCCTCCTGGGGGCCTTGGAGATCGTCTTGGGACTATCTCGGAGGACATCAGTCGAAGAAGGGGGCGGTCATACATTTGCTAAGGCTCGTTGCTCCTCTAGCCCCTTTGATCCTCCCGTGGGGCTATCCTGGGGCGTTCGTGGGCGCTCTTTGGGTCGTCTTGGAGCCCTTTTGGGCCCCTCTCTGGACGAGCCAGCAGGCCAACGTCTTTTTATGCAGTGGTTTGGGAAGCGGTTGGGCCTCTTGGGAGCGCCCACTTGGACACGACTTGAAGCGGTCGCTGGGTTGGAAAATAACGATGGCACAAACAATTGGCTGTTCATGTGTTCTCGGAATCTCTCACCTTGAAATCGATACGACGCCGAAGCTTTTTGGACGGATTTCGACATGCGCGCGCGACGACGCGGGCGTGTTGACTGTGCCAGGTCTTTCGCGGGGGGGGGGCATTTGAAAATGCATGTCGTTGGTAAACGGGTTCGTGCGCATAGTACTATCTGACAGGGCTGAGGGGGGCGATAAGGGGACTCCCCGGCATGGTATACGTTCATTATCAGAAGGGGCGATGGGGCAGCACCACATGTACCTTGTTTTTCCCCAGGGGCTCGCGATGATCTTAGGGTCGGGTATGGTAGAGCTCATTCTTTTTGTAAGGAGCATCAACTCAACACAATGCAAGGCAATGCGAAGTAATGCAACGCCATGCGAAGCCATGCGGATCAACGCAACGCAACGCAAAGTAATGCAACGTAGTGTTCAGCACTGTACAGCAATTCAAACCAGAGAGGCAATGCAAAGGAGCGCAACGATATGCATCGCAATACATCGCACTGCAAAGCAATGCAACGCAGTTCAAAGCTATGCATTGCGATGCCATGCGATGCAATGCAATGCCGTGCAAGGCATGGCGCATCAGTGCAAAAAGCAATGCGAAGCAATGCGAGGCAGTGCCACGCGATTCAGCACAATGCAGCGCGCAGCGCAGGGCAGCCCCACGCGATGCAGCGCACGGCGACTGCAATGCAGTGACGCTGCGATGCAGGGGCCCTTCCCCTTCCCGAGGGCGGAGGGAGGAGGGGGAGGAGGAAAAGGAGGAGGAAAAGGAGGAGGAAAAGGAGGAGGAGGGTGGAGGAGGAGGAGGATGAGGAGGAGGAGGAAAAGGAGGAGGAGGGGGAGGGGAGGGGGTGGACGCGGCGGCGGCGGCGGGCGGGAACAGGGGGGCCGCCGGGGCCGCCAGCGGGCTCCGGTACCAGTGAGCAGTGGGCGGCGGCGGGCGGGGCGGGCGCGGGGCTGCCGGGGCCGTGTGCCGGGGCCCAGCAGTTCCCCATGAGGAGGCGCGTGGCCCCCGGAAGTGCAAGCACTGGTTGGAGGACTTGCGATGTTCTGCACGCACGCAATGGGTACTGAAAGAATGGGTACGACGCCCAACAGCAGTTCCTGTTCATTTTGAGCAGGATTCGCTGTCCGCGCCGCCGCGGCCTGTGTCCATTCGAGGCAGGAGGCCGCCTGCCCAACAGTGGCCGCTTTTGGCTTGGGACAACATTTGTTGTTGGGCATAGTGCCCATTCTTTCGGTACCCATGTCGGGCGTCCAGAGATGTGCAGGTGTCGTGCCTTCCGCTGGTCCGCCGCATTCTCTGGTCGGTGTATCAGGCGGATCATGGTCACGCCACCTCACGTGCGTCATGCAGCCACTCGTTACTGCGACCTCAAAGCGTTTCAAAGGTCGCATCTTCAACTTGAAGCGCGCTAGCCCTTGGGTTCTGTGTTAGCCCATTCCACTCACGAATCGTGCCTCGCTCATTACTTGTAACTGTCCATCGTGCAAATTTGCATCGGCCTGGTCTGGTCTTCCAGTCTTGCCATCAGGCTTCGCGCGTCCGGCTTATCTTCTTTGTCATCCTCAATTTGTTGTCGATCGTGAGGGTGGGAACGGGAGAGATCTCAAGAGTGAGTCGTACGGTACACGTATTGTTTCACTCAGGTCGCCGACTGTTCGCTCTCACCTCTTGTTTCTCTCTTTCTCCTCATCCCCCCACGCTGCGATGGTGGCTTGTAATCTTATACTCGCTCGTGCGGCTGGCGTGGCGTAGAGGCCACCATGGAATTCAGCCGGGTTCAGGGCTATCGCTCGATGTTGCATCGATCTCCCTGCCTATCCTTTCCCTCCCAACTTCTTGCCCCCGCTGGGTTTCTGCGCTTTCCATCGTCGAGTTGGAGGGTCCTTGTGCGGGTAGCGTCGGCAACGTCCAGAAGGGTTCTACGCACGTTTGCACTGCGTGTCAATCACCTACTTGTCAGTTCGTACTTTTACCGAGGTGCAGTGACTTCAGATTGACCTGGCTGCGCTGTGATGGACAAATGTTTGGATGGGACTCGGCGCTCTATTCTTGCTGAACCGTGCGCGTTGGGCCTCTGACATCAGCACAGGAGTCTCACACACTACTGGACAGTTGGGGCGCCACAGGCAACCTGCACGCGAAACAAACGAGGATACCCGTGCAGTGGGAAACGGTTGGTGATTGTTTTCTTATTCATTTTTTTGTCGATCCGCGCGGGCCCCTGCAACCCCTCACCCCCCGGGAGTAGATGTTGGCTGTTCCTGGCGCTTGTTTCGATCAGGTGGAGTCTCTTCCCCCATAGGGCGCACTGCTTCAGACAGTCGCATTAAGCAGGGGTCCAGAGCCAGACCCCCCCCCTTCCGCCAATGTCGAGACGCCGAATGAAAAAAACGCTCACAACGCTGTGGGAAACGGTTGTCGCACCACGGCTAGAGAAGGACGAGAAGCGTAAATGGGGAGCCGCCGCCGAAGTCGCCCAGGTCACCGGCGACAACGTCAGCGCCTTGGCCTTCTGCGACGTCGACGGTGATGGCATCCAGGAGATGATTTGCGGCACGGAGGACGGCGGCCCGGGTATGTTGTTTCGCTTGTTGTGCAGTCGGTTCCGTAGGGTCTCGTTGTCCTTCGTCGTATGGCCACAGCAATGGTCGTCAACTTGTCCTGGGGCCACGGGGGTCTCGTTCCTTCGCAGCTGCTCGTTCTCTGACGGCGCCGCATGTGTGCCTGCTTCCTGTCCGCATTGGTTCCGGGTTATTTTGCCCCGTCCTAGCTCCCTGCCCCCTTCCCTGCGGCTCCCTTCCCAGTCCATGCCGTTGTAAGTTCTCCCATGTTTCCCTTCTCCCTCCATATCCGTGCCTCCCCTCATTTTTTTGTTCCCCCCCTCACAGTCCCCGCAGCTCGTTTGGAGCGCCGACGGGGCAGTGGTTCGGCAGCCTAGGCTTCGAGACAGAGCGCGTCCGCACGTTTGGCCAGTGGGCGGGCGACATTTGCCATCTGCGTCACCGACATGGCAAGGGCTACGGTGCGAGTGATGCGCGCGAGAGCCTCCGATGGGGTGATCTTGGCCCAGCTGCTGGCGAGTGGGCCGCAGCTCGGCACGGGTCGAGGTTCAGTGCATCATGGCCGGCGCTGGCGAGGTCGGGATGCAGGACCTCGCCGCGCAGTTCCGCGACCTTCTGACGAGCGAACAACTCACACCCATACCCATAGGAGGGTCGAAAGGGGGGGAATTGGCTATGGGTATGGGTGCGAGTTGTCGGACCCTGGGGGAAGCTCCCGTTCGAGCGGGGACCCCCATCCGACAACACTCACCCATAGCCTCCTCCGTCCCCCCTTTGGGTGTGGGTGCGTGTTGTTCGATCGTCCACCTTCAGCAGCAGGTGAAGCCCCGCGTCGACACCGTGCTGCCAGAGGCGCGCTGGCCCCCTGCCGGCTCTGCCGTGCCCTTATGCGGCCTCTTCGGCCGCGCGGCGGGCGAGGTGCGGTGTTGGGCGCTGTGCGGGTCTCGCCGGGCGTTTCCGCCTCGGGGGAGCCGCCCGTCTGCCTCTCCGCCCGGGCCGTGGCCGAAGGGCGTGGGAGCCCGAGAGATGGCGTGAGAGGCTGTCGGCGGGGGGAGGGGGACCACGTCGCTCGGCGGCAAGATCGCTGGATTCTGAGGGGGAAAAGGTACCCACACCTCTACCCTCCGCCCGTTTTGCCCTTTTTGGGCATCCTGGGAGGCCCTCGTCGCCGCCGCTGCATTCACCTCGAAATCCTGGTCAGAACGCACCCCGGGAGAGGTCCGGGGAGTAGCGGTATCGGTACCTTTTGGTTTCCCCATGGATAGCGGGTTGCCCACGAGGTGGCTGGCCCCCCCAGCGACGTTTGAGCGTCCACCCTACCGTGGGGCATAACCTGCGTGCAGGGGCCCAGGGTCGCTTGTGGGGGGGGGACCGCTGGCGCCGGCAGGCTGCGCGAAGGAACAGCTTGCCATGTGTGACAGGAGGGCGCCGCCTTGGTGAGCGGGCTGTGTGCCCGGGGGTTGGTGAAGGCCGTGCGCGTTGCGGCAGGATGTTCCCAGGGAGGCCTTGGGGAACATGCCTAGAATGGGCTTGTTTTCCACCACCACCACCATAAGTTGGAGGGGGAAGGGGTCCTCCTCCTCCTCCTCCTCCTCCTCCTCCTCCTCCTCGTCCTCCCCCTCCTCGTCCTCCACCTCCTTCCCCCCTCCAACTCATGGTGGTGGTGGTGGTGGAAAACAGGCCCACCACAGCGGGCCCTTCCACTGATGTTCTCCCGGAGGGGCCCTCGGGCTCTTCGCGCTCTCGGCCCGGCTCCCTCGGAGCGCGATCCCCGCGGCACGGGCCGAGCGCACCAAGAACGGCGTCCACCGCCTCGATGCGCTGTGCCTCCCGCCCGCCTCGGGGCCGGCCTCCGCGGCGGTGGTCTGGCAGCTCCCATGTCGATGGCTCGGGCGTGGGCCCGGCCGCTCAGCGGCAGCACCTCGGAGGTCGATAGACCTACCCCGCCGCGTCGAGGAGTGAATTGGCCGTTCTCGGTTCGCGCGAGGGCGTCGCGGCCGTCGTCTTTGCGGGCCCCGGGTCCGTCGGTTTCGGTCCTGGGCCGTTGTCACTAAAGGGAGGTTTACTAAAGGGAGGTTTGTCCACCGCCGAAGCACCGCTGGACAGCAGGCTGCCTGCGAGGTGGTTGGCTCGCCGGCGACACCCGAGCGTCGACGCCCTCGTGGAAAGTGGCGGGCGTGCACGAGCTCAGGGTGGGCTGGGGGTGCTCGCCTGCGCCAGCAAGTTGCCTCGGGCCGCAGTTACGGATCCCAGTCGCTTCTCGTCGTTGTTGCCCCCTTGCCTTTTAGCCCCCCGGCTTCCCTGGCTCGTACTCCTGGTCTTGCTGCTGCTGCTGGTTTTCCTAGTCCTTCGCCTTCCTCATCCTTTTTTCTCTTCTTCCTGCTCATCATTCTTCTCACCCACCACCAACGTACTCAGATCCAGGCCTCGCAATACAAACTCGCGGCGGCGGCTACTTTTCATTTTGTGTTCGGGCTTTGGAGGCCAACTCTCAGCCCCGGGGCCGTCACGCAACACATCGACATGATCCACCCCGTCCCGTCCTCCCTCCTGCCCCTGCCCATTATCCTTCCCTTTCCATCTGTTCCTATCCCGACTTCCAGCCTCTCCCCCTTTTCTCGTACAGTTCCTCCTCCTCTCCCTCCTCTCCCTCTCCCTCCTCCTCCTCCTTCTCCTTCTCCTCCTCACCCTTCAACTCCGCCTCCAGATTAGGGCTCCTCCCTCCGTCCTCTCCTTCCTCATCCATCTCGCCCTCACTTCTTTATCCTCGTCTTATGTGCCCTCCTCGTGCTGTTCCTCCTCCTCCTCCTCCTCCTCCACCTCCGCCCTCCTCGTGCTGTTATTCCTCCTCCACCTCCGACCCATCGTAGCGGTCTTCCTTACTCCGCACCCTCTTCCGTCCCATTCATCTTCATCCTCCCCATCATACCTCTTTTGTTCGTTATGTCCATCCACCGCCTACTCCTAGTCCTTCGTTTCCACAGACTGTAACGCATCAATCCCGCCTTCTCTAGTCAACATCATCCTTCCCCGTCTCGCATGTTCTGCATCGCCTTCCTTGCCGAGGACTTCGAGATGCGAGTGTTCAAAGGCCAGGACGTCATCAAGGCGATCACCGAGACCGACGTCGTGATCCGCGTGCAGGCGTGGGGTTCTTTCGCGAGCCACTCGCAAGAGTGCTGTTGCGCATTGCGGCGACGGCTTGAGAAGCTGATCCGACGCGCCTTCCTCATACTGACCCATGTGCGCGTTCTCGAATGCATGCGCACAGGTTCGTTGCCCCCGCCCTTTCCCCCATACTCCCCCCATGCCCTCCCACCCCCTGTTCCCTGGCATCCGGCCGCTCCCACTGTTCCGAGGCGTGGGCACCGGAGGTCTGGACCCCTTCCCCGGGCCCCGTTCTTGTTCGTCCCGAGTCGCTGTTGGACGCCCCGCGAGGCCCCGCGAGGGCCCCCGGAGGCCCAAAGCGGCCGAATTCTTGCCGCTCCAGTTTCCGAGCTGGAGCGTCGGATCTCGAGGACGAGGAGGAGGAGGAGGAGGAGGAGGAGGAGGAGGAGGAGAAGGAGGAGGAGGGGGAGGAGGAGGAGGGGGAGGAGGAGGAGGAGGACGAAGAGGGCGAGGAGGAGGAGGGGGATCTCTGGGTCCTCGTCCCCGCCAGAGCTCTCTGCGGCGCCTCTGCGGCCCAGCGCAGTGGCCCCCGCGCGGCACCTCGGTGGGAGGTCGCTGCAGCGCGCCGGCCCGGCCTGCCTGCACGGCCCCCTTAAGTGGCGAGGTCCCGGGCGAGGAGGTCTCCTAAAACAGGGCTAGGATCGGGATAAATCGCTCCAGAGCGTTCCGGAGCGCTCTCGGAGCATTCCGAAACGCTCTGGAGCGGCCGTGGCGCCCAATACATCCTCCAAACCCGCCGATTCTCAGAGATTTCGAGTTATCCCGATCCGATTTTGTCCCGATCTTCGCGTCGTTTTAGGTCTCCAGAAGCGCCGTGGTCAGATCTCTGCACGCACGAGATGGGCACGGAAGGAGTGGGTACAATGCCCAACCACAGTTTCTGCTCATTCTGAACAGGACTCGCTGTCCGCGCCGCCGCGGCCCGTGTCCACTTGAGACAGACGGCCGCCTGCCCAACAGTGGCCGCTGTTGGTTTGGGACAACATTTGTTGTTGGGCATTGTACCCATTCTTTCCGTGCCCATTTCGGGCGTCCAAAAAATACAGTCAGCCTTGAGTAGTAGGTCGACTATGCCAAATCAAGGGTACACCTCGTGTCCTGTGTTTAGAGACCTGTGCCTTTGGGAGGCCTGTGTCTTTAAAGGTCTTGTGTCCTCTCGCGTGTCCTCTCCAATCAAGCCCGACTGTATCATCTGCGCCCAAGTCGGGCACGTCTCTCTACAGGAAGAAAATTCAGAACCAGTCAACAAAAGCCTGGGGACGACGTTTCCATTCTTTGCCTCTGTCCGTGACCATGCTTTGACGATCTTGCCTTCTTCGCCCAAAAACCGCCTGTAGAATGGGCACGCCCGACCTAAATCTGCGTGTAAGGGCGACCCTCCGGCGGACTGGCCCTCGGTGCGGGCCCACACGGGTGCTCCAGCAGTGGCTGGGCCGGTGGGACGTGGGCCCCCTGTGGCCCCCTGCAGCCGCGCACCAGACGTCAGGCCTGTCTGGAGTCGCCCCTGCGTGTGGGCGAGAAGGGCGTTGCGTGTCGGCTCCGAGGCCTCCTTGCCCGCAGACGGCCTCATGCTCAGCGAGCGTTCCGTGTCGGCTCCGAGGCCTCCCTGCCCCAGGGCGGCCTCATGCTCAGCGTGCGAGAGGAGGAGGAGGAGGAGGAGGAGGAGGAGGAGGAGGAGGAGGAGGAGGCCCTCTGGTCCATCGGGAGCTGCCCTCAAGGTCAAAGTGCAGGTCCGCCGCTCCCCCCCTTCTCCTCCCCTCCTCGCCCTCCGCGCCCGCGAGGAGGGCTCGGAGCCGACCACTTCCGCACGACGGGTAAACCGACGGCCGGGC